CTTCACTATTATTTTTGGAAAATTTGGAGGTTCTTTCCATAGAGACCCCTAGCATAATTATAAAGTAACAGCTTGATAATAAAACTTAACCTGTGGGTGGAATGGAGTGAATTAAATAGAAGAAGTGGTGAACAAATCAATTTGAAACCAACAGCATCTATAAAGAATGACATAGATCTGTATCTAAATGGTTTAAAAACTAAACACACACACACACCCTAGATTTCATTCTTAAGTAACAGGCTGTTTTAAAATGTGGGTCCATTAAGAACTTCAGGAAGTTCAGCGTTAATTAACTTTTCTCCTCAGTTGAGTCACAGAGATTAGTTTCAGCAAGGATGCAGCCTTAGCCTCCCTTTCTTTCCAGGTGACTGCAAATAAATACAGTTAATAAAGTGAGGGCATTTGTCAGCCTGTTCTTTTTACTGCATGTATGTGGGAAACACTCTCTTATTTTTGCACATGACAGCCTTTCTTAGATTACTAAGAGATTTTTTTCCCCTGAGAAAGAATATTATCCAAATGGGAATATTTCCGTAAATGTCTAAGGTGGCGGTTCTCTGCAGACACCTGAAGGTGTCCGTGCTGGGGAGCAGGCCGCAGAGCACGTAGGGGAAGCTGTTCTTCTCCAACATGCTTTCCCACCTCCCCTGGCAGAAGACCCTTCTGTGGTATCAGTCAGAGTTCTCTGGAGGAACAGAATCAACAGGAGGTATGGTTATAGAAAGGGGATTTATTAGATTGGCTTACACCACGAGAAGCTGGACAGTCCACAGTGGCCAGCTGCAGGCTGAAGAGCTGGAGGAACCAGGAGCTTGCAGTCCAAGAGGCTGAAGCCACAAAACAAGAGTGATCAATGGTGCTATCCCTGCCCAAGGCCAAGGGCTTCTGGGAGCTCCCTGAGAGTCACTGGCAGAGTCCACTTTGGAAGAGTCTGATGTCCTCAGTTGACCATGGCAGCGACCAAGAACCCATTCAAGAAGAACGGAGCTTGCATCTGCTGCTGCTTCCTTGTTCTTCTCTTATTCCTTCCAAGCCTCTAACCCCCCCCCCCCCGCAGACAGTGCTGCCCACACTTGGGGAGGGACTCCACTTCAGTTTACTGTCCTACATGCCAATCATTCCTAGACACACCCTCACTGACATACCCAGAAGCTCTTAATCCGATCAAGGGGACAATTCAATGGAACATTTAGACCAGTGCTGCAGCCCCTGCTGGACCTGCCTGTCCTCCCGGCTCAGCAGGGCGGGGAAGTGGACCACGTGGGGAGCAGGCTCTCCACACCTCCACACAGGTCCCTGGGAGGATGAGAGCTGGTCCAACACCTGAGGCTAGCAGTCTGGGATAACTGCAGTGACTGTCCCACGAGAAGTCACAGGACTAAGTCTAAAGGAGGCTAAGAACCTCGTGACTCAGAAGGTGTGCAGCAGACATTCCCATGGGCCTGATGCTTGCATCTTGTTTTRATGAGCACTTTTGGTTCACAGTATCTTTGCTGTATTTATGACTGACAAAGAAGTCACTGGAAAACAGAGAGACCTGGAATCGCTAAATAGCCACACTTTGAATGTAACTCTTAATAATGTTTTCACACAAACTCCTTGATTTTTTTTTTTTTTAAGTTGCTGTGGCTTAACGAAATGCAGAACCTGTTTCTATGGCCTGCGTTGTTGCTGGCTGGTGGCTTCAAGGTGGAGTGTGCTGCTCTCTGGATTTGTAAAGATATTATTAGTCTTTGGCAGTCCGATGACTGATCATTGAAGTCTTTTAAATTCACATTCCAAGGGAAATCTCTCTTCTGGAGGGATATTTTTTGTAGATTTAAATGCTATATATATTTTTAAAAACTTGAGACCTAAAAATAAACCTTAGCAAAGTTTCCTAAAAAGGTATAGAATCTGTAACACAGAATGCTACTTTGACATTTCAGAATTCTGCCCTAGCACATCAATTTTGAATCATTTTTTCAGTATTTAAAAGCAGGGCTGAAGTTTTTAGGTCGTGGTTCAACATTGCCTGTAAACCCAGCAAGAGCAGCTCAGTTGGAATGAACTCAGTGGAGTTTGGGGGAGACACCGTTCACTAGGGCTGTGTTCCCAAAGCCCTGGGCAGAATCGGGGTTCAGGGTGGGACTGCCCTCTTGGCCAGCTCAGAGTCTACCCGCTGGAAGCAAGGAGTGCCGTGCCAGCCCTTGGGTCCCCAGAGCCCTTCCTCCAGCTCTTCCACACACTGACACGGGGCTCCCAGGGCTTCCTCCAGGGGGGTCCAGGATTTCTCCTGTGTCAGGTGAGACCATTAACTGTGGGAGGGTGTGAGCCAGAAGCTGACTTGGGTTGGTTGACTGCTTTGACCTCCCGACAGGGATTGCTTTAGGGGTTGTTTTGTACAGGACACTGGGGAGGCTGTAGGCATTTAGGAGCCAAGTGTGGAGCTTCCTTTATGATAATGCGTTCCATCATGCCGCAGCTTCCTAAGTGACCTTTTGAAGAAACAGTAAAAGCTTCAGAAGAAGCCAGGTACAGCCGCGATGAAGAGTAACTGTGCCCCATAAACACAGCTTCCCTTGGCGGTGTGACAGGATGTGGTGTAAAATCAAGTTTCGAGATCGGGTGATAGAAAAGACAATAAAACAGATAATTCTCCAGAAAGTTCAACCCTCATAAAGTTTCTTAGACATTTTTATTGACACGTCTTTATTTGTTGACTTGTTTGTCTTTTGATGTTTCTTTCCTCCTTGATCCAAATAAAGTTCTTAGACAAGTGTTGGGGGCAGAGGAAATGCTGCTTCCAGCTAATCTTAGAATGAGTATATTTCTAGATTTTGGAACTTTGATAATGTAAAGGACCCGCTCTCTCAACCTAGGGAGGTGCGTATTCTGAGTAACACTGTGAGCGCTGACATCTATAAATGATCTCTAGAGCTCATGGCTATAAATTACTGAGAGTTCAGGAGGCTCCCAGGAAAGTCACTGTCATTATCAACACAGGCAAACGTCTCCTGCAAAGAAAGTAAGAGTCTCCTCTGTGCATCAGACACGTAAGTCATTGTCAAAATGAATGACTGCTTCTTTGGGCAGTCTCTTCATCGTGTGTGTGTGTGCGTGTGTGTGTGTGTGTGTGTGTGTGTGTGTGTGCACTTAGCTTTTAAGCACTAGACGGACCTGCAGAGCAGCATGGGACTGTCACCTTCACATGGACAGTCACCTTACTCATACCCTGGCACAGTGGTGCTGGTCAGAAGGCTAGGCACTGCACTCTGGGTTGTTGTTTTCATAAGTGGATTTTGTTTGACTCATGGATATTCCGAATCTTGGGTGCCGCTGGCACTTGGTGCCTAATTGGAGTCAGAGAAGGTGGAGCATTCCGGTACCCCTTTTGCTGTCAGGACAGAATCCTCCTGCAGGGTGGCAGGTGGAAGTCACCACCTCCAGGGCTGCGGTCCCAGGCCTGGGCGGAACTGCCTCCTAAAGCCCAGTTCAGATGCCGTCCTGCCAAGACCCAGGTCAGGTAAAAAGACACAAAAGAAGCCCCGGCCAAGTGCTCCACAGGCCATTGGAACCCTGGGTGCTCAGTGGATTTGGTCGCAGGTGACACAGGAGTTCAGTGTTTCCCTCAAACAGCCAAATATCTGCCAGTCCCTGAAGCCAGGTGGGACTGGGTCCCTCTCTCTGTCCCTGCCTCCCTTGGGGCCATCTGAAGCACCCCTTGCTGGTCAGTGCACTCTTCTGCTCTCCCACTCTGGACATCCAGAATGTTAACGTTTCCATTTCTTATGTCTTATCATCTGTTGCAAAGATAATCACGTTATAGTTGGCAAAGAAGGAAACCTCTCAGCAATCCCATGTACATTCCCACAGTGTACTCTCTTCCCTATATGAAGTCACAAAACCCAATCTTTAAAAAAAAAAAATTGTTTTTTTTTGTGTGTGTATTTGTTGATGGAGAGCATACCTTTATTTTATTTTTTTATTTTTATGTGGTGCTAAGGATGGAACCCAGTGCCTCACCCATGCTAGGCATCTGCTCTGCTACTGAGCCACAGCTCCAACCCACAAAACCCAATCTTGATTGGAGACCACCTGGGTATAACTATATTGCAAGTTTCAGGGGATATTTTCCTCAGTGGATGGTATCTATCTCAAAATGCAAACCGGACAGGCCAATTGGCAGAAAAATCACATATTTATTTCATAATTCAATTGTTTTTGAGAAAAGGAAAATTAGGTAGAAATAGAAGTACACAGAACATGTGGCCCTCAAGCTTCCGACTCTATATAAGCATTAAAATTCACATCATAACGTGAAGAGAAATAGGTTACTGTAAGACTGTCTTCACCGATGGCCCTAAGTGTCGCCCACATGAGGCCACCTGCACAGGGGAGCCTCCCTTCTGTCCTCCATTGCTTTGACAACTGAGTTTTCCAACTCCATTATGATTCACTTCTGCGTCTCTGTCTGGCTGAGTTTCTCAGGAGCCTCGTGGCTTGGGGACATGGCAGGTGGAGACTCAGGAGTCCCTGGCTTTTGTGGTCAGGATCCATTTATAACCCCCTGAAGATGGAGGCTGAGAACCTGGAGGAGGTTAGCAGGAAGGTGGGAGGCTGCGATTTGGGCTGGTGCAGGCACCAGCTGCGTGAGCCCTGGGGGTACAGACAGAGGCACGACCTTCTCAGAGATGGAGTTGTGACAGCGAGGGGTGTGGGGGCTGCCAGGCTCCTGACTCGGAGGAGGCCTGGGGAGTGCAGCGTGCTGACCAGAGGTGTGGGTGGACAGGTGGTCAGGGTGGGAGCACACGTCCTGGGGAGCGCCGAGGCAGCCAACCCTTGGCTCTGAGGAGTGGTTTACAGAGACCCCCGAGACCCGAGTCCCTCTCCTCACGACCACACCCTCTTCCTCTTGCTGCACCCCAGGGAGCCCTCAGCAGCACTTGTTCCTCCTTTAACTTCAGGAGGCATGCACTTGACCTTGAGTACGTTCACTCTTCCCTCTCTCTGCACAGGTTTTGACCTAGTGAAGTGTGAGGACCCGGGCATCCCTAACTATGGCTACAGGATCCGGGATGAAGGCCACTTCACAGACACCGTGGTCCTGTTCAGCTGCAACCCGGGCTACGCCATGCACGGCAGCAGCACCCTGACCTGCCTGAGCGGGGACCGCAGGGTGTGGGACAGACCAGTGCCTTCCTGCGTAGGTGAGTCGGGAAGCAGGTGAGGCTTCACCAGGTGAGGAGAGGTGGAGAGTGTGGCTGCAGGTAGCTTGGCCACCATTCTGCAGAGACGAGAGAGTATGTGCACCCCGCTACAGTGTGCACATACTCCTGAGATGGGCAGGTGCCTGTGCGTGCTCCGGTTTGAAAGGCATTTCCCAGGCCACTTTGTGGAGGTCCTGTGCACAGAGTTGTGGGAATGACCACATGGTGTGTTGCTGTTTTACACATGCACCTTAATGACCTGTCAAGGAAAGGGCTGGGGGTGTGGGAGAAAGGATGGAGCTGTTGATGCACTTCTTCATGTATGTGGTTCAGAGGTGATTTTTAATTCAAGGTTTTGTTCATCAATGAGCTCAACAGAAGGGGCGGCCCCTGGAGTGATTCCCCATGTCTGTGTCTTACAGCTGAGTGTGGAGGCCGGATCCCGGCTGCCACGTCAGGACGGATACTGTCCCCCGGCTACCCAGCCCCTTATGACAATAACCTGCACTGCACCTGGGTCATAGAGGCCGATCCCGGGAGGACCATCAGGTAAGTGCTGGGACTTGGCCTCAGGGATTTGAGGACAGAGGAGAGAGAGCAGCACACTGAGTCCACGGAAAGAGGAAAATGGAAGGCTGTGCCCTGAGATCACACGCACGTCTCTGCTGGTCCTTTGAGATCACATGTGAAGCCATGTGATACTGTTATCACCGGTGACAGTGACAGAAACAAAGTGAAGTCAGTATCTCATCAATGAGCTGAGAGGCRTGGACGTCATTGCCTATCAGTGGGTGGTTGTGCAGCTCAGATCTGGGTGGGCTCAGCAGGACCAGTTCCCATGGCCTCCTCGGGAACCTGGCCTCCTCTGGCCTCCTGGGAAGACCCAGGCCCGCCTGCCAGTGCCCTTCCTGCAGCATCCAGTCCTGTGGAGGGCCCTTAGCAGCAGGGAATGCAAGTTCCAGCTTCTGCTTGCTACCCTCTGCTGATATGTGGTCACCAAAGCCAGCCTCGGGGACCGGACAGGACTCAAGGCACACAGAAGGGGTCCCTTGATGGGAAGAGAAGCAAATGATCTGATCAAAAAAGGGGGCGCCACAGAGGTGAGAGGGAGACCTGGCCATTTTCAGGGGACCAGGGTAATTTGAGGTAGACCAGGAAGGCACTGCAACATCCCAAAATCACGCCAAAATGACACTCATTTACGCTTGTAGAAATAGTGCAAATATTCAAACAGAGCGTTCTGTTTCAGTTGACAGTTCAAAGTGTTGGGATGATTTTCTTAAACCAACAAGAAGCAGTGTTTTAAAGTAGGCGCTCCTGTTCCAGTTGGCAGTTGGCGATAAATAAGAACATATAGCAAAAGGGCAACTTTAAAACACGTTCTTTAATCACAGTTCTCCACAGAGAGCAGGACTCGGCCTTCCACAACTCTCCTCTTTCATCCAAGTTGCTTGTGAATCTCAGTGAAAGTTAGTTTCTAAAACCCTTGGACTCCAGCAGGCCTCTCCCTGAGCCCTGGGTCTTGGCACCTTGCCCCCAGGCCACTGTGCCCAGAGAAGACACACTAGGTCTGTCTATACCCACCTTGACCCAGGTCAGACACAAGTAAGGACTGCAGGGCCCATGACCTGGGATGAACCAGGGATGCTGTCTCTGTCCATAGAAGGCGCCCTGTTCAGTTAAATTTGTCATTCTGCAGCTTTATAATGTGACGAAATGGGAAAAGGTATAGGGGACTCAGCCTTGTTCTCTGAGGCTCTTCTTCTGGCACTAGCTCCCCTGAAACCGTGTGTCTTACTGTCCACTTGGTCACGTTGCCACCACGTAAGGGGAGAGGAAAAAGAACTCAACGCATTTGAAAAATTCACATATGTTACTTTGTAATAGCTCATTTAAAAACTAACGTGTCCTTATTCAAGATAAATGGTTAATTAAATAATTATCAAAGTATTGGGACAATACCCAGATGTATGTGAGTAACAAAATTTTGGATTCTGCATTTTTCATGAAAATCAATAAGATCACTCTCTATTGAAAGAAATAAAATTAAATATCAGTTATTTCTTCATTTTTAAATTTTATTATTTGTTTTTATTTATTTCTATTTACTTGCTTTTTAGTTCTACATGACAGTAGAAGTATTTTGGCATATTATGCTTACATGAAGTACAACTTTTTCTAATTAGGATCCTATTCTAGGGTTGTACGTGATGCTGAGTTACTCTGGTTGTGTTTTCAGTACAAGGCTGGAAAGTTACGACCATTTAGTTCTATGTCCCTCTTATTCCCCTCCCCCTCCCTTTGTTGCAGCCAGGTTTTCATCCAGCATTAAGAGTGTCATGAGGGTCCTCCAGGCTGAAAATGTGAGATCTGTTAATCCACTTTAAAAGCACAAGGGAGTTCTCGATTTTCCAGCCCTCTACTGCAGGATACGTAGTCTTTTTTTTCACTGTGACGCATGGTTCCACATGGACATTCTGCAGCCCTGATCTGAGGATCTCTGTAGGTCTGGCATATAAACAGCTGCTAAGTTCTTTCCCTTGTGACTGACGATGATGAACAAATGCCCTTGTCTGCCAATACCTGATGCGATCCGTATAGCAGCTGCACAAGCAGGACTTTGATTGGTCCTTTTGTTTTTTATTTCTAATTATTTCCACTTTTGTTTACATTATTTTATTTGTTGTTTTTAGATACACATGACCCTAGGGTGCATTTTGACTTATCATACATACATGCGTGCAACCCATTACAATTTTGTTCTTGTGGTTGAACACAATGTGGAGTTTCACTGATCATGTATCCATATGTGAGCTTAAGAAGGATATGTCTGATTCATTCCACTGTCTTTCCTATTCCCATCCCCTCTCCCTTCCCTTCATTTCCCTGTGTCTAATCGAATGAACTTCTATGCTTCCCCTCCTGCTATGGGTTACATCCATATATTGGAGAGAACATTCGGCCTTTGTTGTTTTGGAACTGGCTTATTTCACTTTGCATGATATTCTTCAGTTCCATTCATTTACTGGCAAATGACATAATTTCATTCTTCTTTAAGGTTAAGTAATATTCCATGTATATATGGAACGTATATACCACATTTTCTTTATCCATTTGCATGGTGGTACACACCTGTAATTAGCGTCTCAAGAGGCTGGCACAGGAGGATCAAAGCCAGGCGTTCAAAGCCAGCCTCAGCAACTTAGTGAGGCACGAAGCAACTCATCGAGACCCTGTCTCTAAATAAAATAGGAAAAAAATAAGGGCTGGAGTTTGGCTCAATGGTTAAGCACCCTGGATTCAGTTTTCAATTCCAAAAAAATTTGATTAAAAACTAAAAAACTAAATATAAATTCTTAACATTTAACTCCTGTATACTTTGAATAATATAAAAATAATTCCACAGGTTTTGATTTTGAAAAAGTTGTAGAAAACATCTATGATTAATGAAAAGACTTTCTGTAAGCAGACTCTGTTTTCTTCCAGGAAGATTTCAATGGTCACTTTCCTGCAGTTTTCCTTGTGAACTATTTCCCTAGAATTAGAACAGAGCACTGCTGACCTCTGAATGCAGACACTTGACTCTGCAGGTCCATCTAAAACTCCCAGGCAGACTGCGGCTGGGGCTCAGGGGCAGAGCGCTCGCCTAGCATGTGTTGGGCTCTGAGTTTGGTCCTCGGCACCGCATAAAAATAAGTGAATAAAACAAAGGTATTGTGTCCATCTGCAAATAAAAAGATATATTTTAAAAATTCCCTTGGCACGAGAATAAGAAAGAGGAGGGAATCACTAAGGAATAGTGAGAGGGAACAACATGCACAACTCTTCCAACAAGCTGAGCGTGCTGTTCACTACTCAGCACCACAGGAAAGGGTCTCTTCACACAGCACCGTGTGCTGCAAGAGTTCTCTTCTCATCTGTACCTTTCACATGTGGGCATACCTGTTATCACATCTATGAACTTACCTGTCCAACTTGAGGCAGGAACCTCTTCCTAATAAGGGAGTTAAGAGAGCAGCGTCAATGTTTATAATTAATTTACTCAGTCGCTGGTCAACTCCATCTGCACGACATTCCAGTGGTTGAGTCACTGTTAGTTAAGAACATGTGTCCGATGTTTGGTATGGAGGTTTGGAAGGCAACATGATTAAAGGCACAAGATGCACTAATTTTAGGCTTAAAATTATACTGATACTCACACTTCTTACTATACTGATACTAACCACACTTATTGCATTGGTAACACAGTCACATTACCTCCAATTTTTTATTTGAAAATGAGGAATATATAAGTTATATGAACCAGACTCCAGGATTATTTTGTGTACTAAAAATGTCTCAGCATAAACAGACTTTATCATTATACATTTATACTAATATTTTAAATTGTAAATATATTTTTATTCTCAAGGAATGTTTAAATAAGATCTTAAAGAATGAAAAAGGGCTGCTTTTAGTTCTTTAGGCTCATTCTTACAGGCCTGCTATGATGTCATTGAGGCCCAGAGCAACTTCTGAACATACATTTCTTGGCTTTTTATTTAAAAAAATAGAAAACCCCAAGATAGTTATTAGTTATTGGTTATGTGGGTCATGTTTCAAATTTTAATGAAGATGCTATAAAGCAGTTACCTATGGAAAAAGTAGCTGAAAGTCTAACAACAAGGTATGGCAGTATCTTGAGTCCTATTATGGGTCGAATGCTTCTCTAAGACCCTCAGTGCACTTCTTGCTGAGCACAGTCATGATCTGTGTAAGAAAGGGGACACAAGGAGGAAGACTTTCAGCAATTGCCTTAAAGGCTACTCTACACAATCACACAAGAATGGTGCTCCTGAGGCATTCCTGCTCTTCTGCACGTGTAATTGTCTAGTAAGCAAACTTGAACATCCTGTGGTCAAATGGTCCACAGGGAGTTGTATTTGGTGATATGGACTAAGGTTAGTCTTCTTAATAATACTATGCAGTATTGTCAAAACTATCCTTAATTCAGACTTAAAACAAAGTAACACATACATTGATGACCCTCATCTTCCAGGTGTGTCCTGGGTTGGATTTTCCCAGTGCCAGGCCATGGAAGGTGGATGCCATCTGGTGTGAAGATACAGGAAACATTTATAAGAAAAAAAATGTTAATCTACTTTTGATCAGCTTTGGAGCTCCCTATATAAAACTCAGGAGGAAAACAGAAGGCAACAGATCTTCCTCTACTGGGTGTTTATCCTGACCCCAGTTGGAGCCTGAATAGGTGTGCGTGGAGCACAAACCGGGAGTAGTTGCTGACTTGAGAGGCAGACTTGTTCACCCAGGAGTAACAGCCTGTTGGTTTTCCCCTCTCACTAGGATCACAATGGAGTGGTCTCACCATCATCACTGCCTTCTTCGTCTAGTGAGGTGCTGGGAATCCGCAGGACACTACAGGTTCACATACAAATTAGCCACACCCAAATTTCAACCAAGCTTTAGAGAACAGAGGAGGGAATCTCAAACCCATGACCAGGCCCCAAGTAGGAATGACTAGAATTGGGTCTCAGGTCCCAGTCATGGAC